CTGGGTGACTTTTAGGAGGTTTCGTCTTCTTCACAAACTGGAAAGGTCAAGTCGATGTACAAACTACTCAGCCAAACAAACCAATAACCTCAGCAAAAAAAAACTCAAAGCCTAACTCCCACGACCGACTTTCTATTAACCTCGGCATTGATCAAGTAATTCTTCGTATTCTTGTTGAGCAAACGCGAGGTGTTGCTTTTATTCTTTATTCACGAATAAGCTGACGTTTCGGCGGATTTCGCCTTCCTCAGAGCCTGGAAACGTCAAGATGACAGCAATCTATTTGGCCAAGCATCTCCATAACCAAACAGAGAAAGCGCTGAACCAAGATTTCAATCACATCGAACATAGCTTTGCACACTCACCACTTTCTATAAGTCTTCCACTGGGTATGTCGAGTGGAGACCAATCGCACAGAATTCACATGGAAGCGTAACGTGCCCCTCCCATCAGAATAACAGTCTTATATACTGCCCAATCACGCGTGATAATGAGGCATTCTTACCTGCGGTTCATTTTTGGATTTCTGGAATTCCAGAACGCCTCGAGAGTTTTGCTCGGTTGTGTTCTCGATTCCTGTACGAGAATTATGACACGTACTTCAAAGTCCTCCTCGTTATGTCTCTCGGTCCTATGCGTGCCTAGTGGGGTATTTGGTAGATGTTTGCCAGCTAGGTGTTCATTTATGTCAGCCACTATGAAATTCATCGTTTTCTTGTTCAGCAATCGCGAGTTTGTTAAACAACATACAATAGAATACAATACAACATTAGCTGACGTTTCGGCAGTATCGCCTTCTTCAGAGCCTGGAAGGGTATACTAATATACAATCTACTATGTCAGCCACTATGTCAGCATTTGGAAGGCTTTGCAGCTCATGTCGACTTTCCTTCTACATTTACCACACCTACCCATCCTATCATGTAATTCTGATTCGTGATAACAACTGGAACTGAGACAATAATCAGTTGCGAGTCAAGCTGCCGGTCAACGAATGTGTTCGAGAAAAACCTTTCTGAATATTTCTATGTGAAGAACAGAACTTTTTTCACTTGTCACATTTACATCCTATGGATTGATCAAAAAAAAAATCTAGCAGAAGGGCTCTTTGTGCTAAAATAAACCATCAAAAACAAAATAACCTCTATAGAAGTTATGGCAACCACGATGTCCCATTACAAATGACACCGGTAGAGGTCACGTTGTCGCGAATGCTTTAATGAACATCCAGTTTTCCTTGGTTCAAATAATGCAGTGTTTCTAAGAATTCAATACGACACGTTTTCTCTACGGGGTTATATTTTTCGATTATCGCTCAAAATCATCGAAAACACAAAGTTCGAAATCACACGTTCAATTTCAGTTCATCATGCAAGAATCCTCCGTTGACGGTAAAAGATACCATCTCTTGGAATACAAGAATCTGCTTCTACTGGAGATGTAGTGCCGGTAAATTATTAGCATTTTTCTTCCTTAGCTAAAATTCTTTTTCTCCGTTTTTTTTCTTCTTCCTTTAAAATCTTCCTTAGTTAAAGGGCGCGTGTGGCGCAGTGGTAGGAGGCGGCCTGCAACACACATAAAATCGAGGGCCCATAGCCCACTAAGTCTTCCATCCCACCGGGGTCGGCAAATAGGTACCAGAGTTGTCTGGGAGGATAGCAACACTGGCTCGATACATCGGTAGGCCACCGCGAGTCATTATTAAGGCACTGAATCACCTCCAAACGATGCTTTATAAAGTCGAACTCATGGCGCATTTCTCAGGGAGTGATTAACGCCGAAATCTTTTTCTAGAGTTAAAATTTTTAGGATATTAACTATTTTCTGTGCATTCTCAGTTTCAACAAAAAATTAACATATTGATTACCACCGAAATGACAATGTGACACATAAAAGACGGGGCGCATTCATTTCAATTCATGTAATGTGAAAATAATGGCTGCTTTGAAATTTGGACCAACATGTTCTAGGTTAAAGTAAGCTCTATTAATTCAAAAACAAAAAAAGTATTTAAAGGTGTTTACCTGCAGAATACACGTTCTCCTTCCTACAGCAGTTAGGTACTGTTTTTGTGGTGCCCATAAATACTGCATTCTTCGTTTATTTTGCTCCAGGCTAATGTTTCGAACATCGAACCGACTGAACAGTTCGAATTTTGCGCGAGAGGACCCGATGGTGCGCGCTTCTTTTTGACGTTTTCGGTAGGGTCAGCTCCTTCAGAAGCGTACGCTTAGCTTAACCCTTTTATTTACTGCCTTTTTCTTTTTAATGGCAGGGCATGTTGCGAAATATAACTCGTATATAATGCTGAGATATTTGCAAAATTCCGGACCGCAGGTGTATGCGGTGGGGAACGAACGCGCTATTGTCCTTACCAGGGAGTAGCGCACTTCATCACCACACCATCCGGGTCCTTCGTTATGCCTGTCTCTCAGCTAGTTCTATTGATTTTTTGCCATCAGCAATCACCCGTCAACGGGATTGATCTGGGGAGCCCAAATCGGCATTGGACCCAGTTAAGCTGAGGCTTAGTTACAATCACAGTCTTAACGCTTTTATTTACTGCCTTTTCAATAGAACTAGCTGAGAGACAGGCAAAACAAAGAACCCGGATAGTGTGGTGGTGAAGTGCGCTACTCCCTGGTAAGGACAATAGCGCGTTCGTTCCCCACCGCATACACCTGCGGTCCGGAGTTTTGCAAATATCTCAGCATTATATACGAGTTATATACGCTTAGCCTCGAATTTTCAGTTTGACTCCTCCTGAGATCTAAAGTCGGAAAAACATTCCAAAAATACCACTTACATTTTTTTGGCGATAAGGGAAAGACTCCTCTATAACCACGTTGAGCTCTGAACTCCTCTGCTTTTCTAGTTGTCGAAGAAATATCGGCACTTACAAAAAACCATCATTGGGCTTCACACGTTACAGATAACAATTCCCTCTTTTTAAATGTACTCAAACGTTTTCTTCAATGCGGTATAACATTGGTATAACATATCAAGATCATTGGTGTTTTAGCGTTTTATGCCATGCGAGTAGAAAACTGTTGGGTTGGAACAAGAAAAAGCCCAGTGTACATTGTAAAATCGGACGGGTCAGTTCATTTTTGTCATCTATATTTCGAAAAAAACTGTCAAAAATTATTTACTTATGTTTAACGTTTTGTTTTCTGCCTTCTATAATTTTCATGGCAGGTTATTAAGCGAAATACAACCACAACGTTGCTGAGATATTTGCAAAACTCTGGACCGCAGGTGTCTATGGTGGGGAACGAACGTGCTATTATCCTTTCCGGGGAGTAACGCGTTCACCACCACACCATGCGGGTCCTTTGTTTCGCACGTCTCTCAGCTATTTCTATCTATTATTTACTTACTTAGATACTTGGGTGGTCCTCCGTCTTCGTGAGTAATGCGGGCCTTAGCACATCCTTTATTCGTGTTTTTCTCGCTCAATCACGGTCCGTGGTAGTTGGTCTACTTCGAACATGGTGACGTCGGCGAGGAACATTCCGTGATCCGTGAATCATTTCCATCGCGAACAGAGACGGTTGAAGTGAGGTGCACGCATGTTAGCCCATTTTGCAGCTGGTCGATCCAGAGGGTGCCTGGATCGTCTTGTAGCCTACTTTGCAGTACTTCCGTCTATTCGCTGTCTGCCTTGCTCATGACCAGCCCATCTTTTTTCACTAATCGATATGTAATCTCTTGGACCCCGGGATATGATTCTAGAATCTGAATCGCGCAGTTCCATTAGGCGTTTCGTGTGCCGACTCTATTTAAAAATACATCGTTCAAGCACTCTGCGGAAGCTTTGTGGAACCAGTGACGTTGTTGAAGTGTCAGTCCACGTCTCCGCTGCACAGCAGAGCTAGGGGGACGAATGAGTTGAAAGGATGAACGTGGAGCTCTGGATCCGCTGGTTAGTCAGTAGCTTCTCTGGGAAACCCAACCGCCGCCTATAATGCTCTACTTCTTTAGGGTAATTAGTCCTTAATGTTGTTCTTCAAGTTCACTGAATGCCTAGTGCACACGATGAGATGGTCTCTGTAGTCAAATGAAATCGAAGAACCATTCAGTTCGATTTGTTTACTTTCGCACCATTGCGTTTTTCCATAAAGAGCTTATTACCCGATCTATGCACAGTAAAGCAAATCCAAAGACTTTCATGGATGATGGATATGAGGAAACGAATAGAATACAGGAAGCATTGAAATTCGTGTGATTAATGCGATGTTGGGTCATGTAAGGTGCGCAGTCGTATCCTTTTTCCCGCCCAGTGCCCAGACCACTGAGCATCGTCTCAGAGTCACCTCTACCCCTCGGAAGGATGATGACATCATCCACGAAACAAATATTTGACAAGAATCTGCTACCGATGCGTATCGAATTTTTGTCAGCCGAATGACTTCATTAACCACTGCAGTGCAGTAGTAAATTACTTTGGCAGATAATATTCCTTCTCGACCCACTGGTGAACGATAGATGTTAAAATTGTATTTTTGTGGTGTAGTTATGATAATAGTCAGTCGGAGTCCTTCATAGAACTCCTTCGTCGATGCACGATGACGGGATTGCACGTATCAGTACCTAACTCGGGAATCTGTAGGTCCACTACCTTAGTATCAAGTTGAGTTGTGTCGATCGAGTCGTCTCGGCTATTCAATCTATACAGTCTACCATTGACAATTAAAAAATAATCACTTTTCAAATTTTAAGAAGTTCCCATTAGCCTTGTGTTTGGAATAGAACATGCACCATAATGGTTGAGGTCTATGATCTCTTATTCATATTTTCAAAGCTATTCGTTTTTCTGGATATAAGCTGAACCCACGGTTAATTCGTTGGTGTGAGCATATGTTGGAAGAATAGTTTTATCATCATAGATCGCCAACAATTGATAAGATTTCGAATGTCTGACAGCATTTTCTCAACGAACGTCGTTCTACTCTACGCCCGATAACGTTATTTCCTATTTTAGATGTACAACCGAATCAGCACTTCTGCGCTCGCCGTCGTACGCCTCGTTCTTGAGCGCGATTTCAGTTGGCTGGTTGTCAATCCGACAAGCTGGTATGACTGAGTTGCTGGTTTCCTGTAACATCACACTATGTCATATGTGTGACATATTTTGCCGCGAATATACGGTGAGTAGCCAGGTTGTTGATAATGCAAATATAGAACAAGTTCACCACTGCAAGAAATGTGTCGGCCTATTGTTTACTGCTCTTTCAAAGCAATTTCTCTCTACTTGAACGAAATACGGAGTGTATACTTTTATATGGCGACGTCGGCAAAGTAGTTAACGTTGGTGTTCCATTCTCATGGATTTTTCATGTACCTGCATACAACGTATATCCAACAACCGTCAGAAGCTGTGGTGGTCTTCAGGCGTCCCACTAATAAGAAGGAATTATGTATAACAGCCCAAGTAATTAAGGTCAAAACTGCACTCGTTGCTATCCTCCCATTAGAACCTAACCTAGTTCTATCCCATCCTAAGACTTCTAGTGCGTTAACAGGAACCCCAGTGATCTAATCTTCTATAGATTAGCTAGAAAAATAAGCAAACCAATACTTTCTTCACAGCTCTGCCAACTTCTCCTCATTTTAAGAGTCGGCACCTAACGACAGTCTGTTATGTTCTTCTTCTTTGTACACAAAAACCTTATGAATTTCTATAATACATTCGATACACACCTATAGGTTTGAAAAAAGAAAAAACAATCGGCGTCAGAAGTTTCTATTGTGGAATTATTTGCGTGTCCAGTACTCTAGAAAGTAATACGATACCCTAAAACCGAATACCACCAAGAATTAGTTTCATGCTTAGGCAAAAATCATGTTATGCATTACAGCCACCACGGTCATGTCGAGATTCTTTAAACCGAGACTATGACCGAATGTGGAATGAGAGTGTTATGGTGGAACGAGCGTGTAAACAGCCGGAGGTGACAACCACTGTTGAAAATGTCAAAGGTGCATCGCCCAACCTTTCTGTTTCTTCCGGTGCCGTCGTCGCCATCATCACCACTCTTGTGTATTTAACAGAGTAACGGGTTCCACTGAATTAGTACAGATAAGTGTTCACTTAAAGGTGATTCCCCATATCGGGATGTTTCGCCTCTACATCATGCAATAAATTTCGATACGTTCTAATGAATTTCTTGAGGAAACGGTCGTCAAAGAGTTAGAATCAAAAATTTCGTACTCGAAAATCTACCATAAAAAAGCCTTTCTGAACTGTGTGGTGTACTAGATGACCTCAAATTCGGCACAACGGTGTACTGCTCGGTAACTCAGGAAGAAAAACTCCTCGACATACAAGTATATATTCATTCGTTAGTGTCAACTGTGCTCAGTCAAACCCTCTATTGATTTATTGATCCCATTCTTTTCGTTGTATATCTTGTACTCTATTTAATTCACTGGACCACTCTTTCTCCTCATCTCTCAAATCATCCACTGCTATACGAACCCATCGTAAAAAGAGCTATAAATTGTGGTAGTGAGAAAAACTGCCTAAATCGAATTGAGCAATCAGCAACACTTTGCAAAAATGTATGAACAACGAAGGATTCCAGAATTTTTTAATGCTAAAAGGAGATGGCAAAGATAAGCACTGAAATATGGAAAGAACTGAAAAAAAAACAAACATTCATATACAAAAATTCGTGAAAATATGACACCATCGTATTACAGAACATAAAATGAAGCATTGTAAAGGACGTCTCACTGAGGACCCGATTATCACGGTGAAATTATAATAACTGTAGCTGAATGATATCACATCGAACTCTACTAGTTTATCAGTTTATCATATCGGCAGCCGACATGAACGAATTAGATTCGACCGCTCCGCATACGAATTCGAATTTCTTGCACTCATTCGTTAGTTTTTTAATTTCTGATACCTAAATGTTTACCTTTATAAACCAAAAGTATACATAACCGCTAAAATCAACTTCAACATACGAACAATTTTAAGAGTCGCACTATGTCTGCGAAAACGAATTGTTGTGGCAAATAGCTCGAAAGACCGACTTTCTATATACCCCAGCATAGATAGTTGATATATTTATTTACGTGGTCTTATGAACTGATCTTCTTAAGCTGACGCGGAGTTGGTACAGGTCTTCGTTGTCGTTGTTTTTGATGTTGTTGGTCGATGGCTCACGTTTCGGCGGCTTCGCATTCCTCAGAGCCGTGATGTTATGCGTCCCACACGTAACATCACGGCTCTGTTGTGGCAAACTTTTAGAGGAAGAACTAATAGTTCTTAATGTGTCACATTTAATCAACCACAAGGACAAAAGGCTCAAGTGCTTCATAATGTTTAACGTTTTGTTTTCTGCCTTCTATAATTTTCATGGCAGGTTACTAAACGAAATACAACCACAACGTTGTTGAGATATTTGCAAAACTCTGCACCGCAGGTGTCTCTGGCGGTGAACGAACGCGCTATTGTCCTTTGATAAAAAACTTTTATTCGGATAACGTTTCGACGTCCTCGTATTCATCACAGCCGATGATCGGAGTCGATGGTCCGCAGTTGTTCGTGTTCTCGAGGTGGCATCTTCGTAATCGCACTGACACCGATCTCCTCTATAATGGAACACCGCACGAATAAGGGAAGCTCATCCGGCAGTGCCCTCTTATAGAGCGCGCTTGTTGACAACTGTGGACCATCGACTCGGATCATCGGCTCCAATGAAGACGATGTCGAAAGTCGAATAAATATATTTATCAACCTCGCGTAAGTTCGACAATTTAAACACACTAGCTCTCATTTGGATGAACCAGAACGATGGAAAATATGCAGCTCCAGAGTCCAGAAAATGGATCGGGGTATAGCAGTTATTGAGTAAACAAAAACGGCCTTCTTTAGAAGAAAAAGCGATTTCTATAGGAGAAAATTTTGTCCCAGTAAATCATTGTCATGGTTTCTACTTCCATACTTGAGCTAGGTAGTTTTCACTCAAACCAAGAACCAATAGAAGGAAAAATAAAGATAAAGCTCTGATTTTTGTGATTATAACTGCAGCCTCAGCTTTACTGGGTTCGTTGTCGATTTGGGCTTCCAGATCAATCCCGTTGACAGGTGATTGCTGATGGCAAGTGATCAATAGGACTAGCTGAGAGACAGGCGAAACGAAGGACCCGCATGGTGTGATGGTGAACGCGTTACTCGCCGGAAAGGACAACAGCGCGTTCGCTCCCCACCATAGACATCTGCGGTCCAGAGTTTTGCAAGTGCTTCATGTTTCCAATATTAGATTCTATGAACGCGACTAACAAGGAGTTTTAGACCATAAGAACACTTCTATCAAAGCAAATATAAATATAAGTTTCACTGAAAATAACTCTCCTGTCTTGTTAAAACTACAACTTGGGACACGGGTATCAGCGCAAAAATAAAAACGCCGTCCCATAATGCTCGTAAGGCCCTGGTTCGACCCTGGGCTAGGTGAACCACAAAGACTCGCCCTGCCTGTAGCGAGGATCTGAAAACAGTTCTGGTCCTAGCACAGCTCTCCCAAGATTCCACGAAGATGCTACTCGACCGGCGTTCAACAATAGTCAAAAGAGGAAAAAAAAAGAGGTGTTCTTATGGTCTAAAACTCCTTCAAGAACCAGAACGCCTTCGGAAATACGAAGACCTTCGTGGATAGTTGACGTGGAGAAATGAATCGAATAAGGAACTGTTAGGAGTTTCACAAAGGGCTGTATAAAAAATAAGATTTTTCAAATTTTCTCCATAATATCAAACGCTCCTATGAAATTCTTCGAAAATAAATTGATCTCGTCCTAAATTTCACTCATCCATTAACCAACCTTTGCAACAGTTTTGTGTTGATAGGTAGTGACGGATTTCGTATTTCGGTATATGGACCATTCCAATAGCGACGCTGCTTCAACACATTCACACGGACGTTCGAATAGCAGCCAATTTTCCTCTAGCGCTTGACTTATGCGATGAACGACTGCTTCACGACGCTCAAGCATTTAAACAATAGCTTAAAGTTTCAACAAAGAAATTCAGAAATAATTAAGAACAGATGAAAAATTCATATAAATAAGGAATAATTTAAGAAGCAATAAGTCCTAGAGAAGCAGAATTTATAATCACCTGCGGTGCAAGGTTCGGAATGTAGTTAGACTTTGGCTCCTTAATCGGAAATTCTGTACTAGGAATGTAATCGTGTAGAAACTCGAACTTCGTTTCTTTGACCTAAAGTCAATCAATATGTTACAAAACAGTAATTACACAAGATTTAGAAAGGTTAGGAACATGCATGGGAACTCCCTAGATTTTGTGGCTCACTTTGCGACGTTTCGTGAACTCGCTCTGGACAATATCACGCATTCTCAGTGCCTCTTCCCGTTCTAATCTTTCTTTTGCTTCAAAAGCGCTACACTCTTGCTCATCGTCATAGCGTAATCTGAAGTGCGTAAGAGTCCACAGTGTTGATAAAGAATCTAATAACAACAACAACGATAATAGTAATACCAATAGTGATAATTCCATGTGAATCAATCTATCCCGTGTTGTTGTTTCGTCGTTGCAAAATTGTTAATTAAATTAAAACAATGAACAGTGAATAGTCCAGATATTACTTACCGTTTACCTCCGCCATATAGTTCACTGCTATCTTGCACGCCTTTAGAGGCCTTGGTGATCTTCGTTGACGAGCACGACTGCTGAATATGGATAAAAAAGGTGAGGGAATGAAGAGCACTTTCAGTACTGAAACAAGATTATTTTGAGATGATACCTGGAACTGAGACGCTCTTGCCATAGTAGCGTTTGGGTCCTTGCAAAAATCACAATGATTTCGACAAGGAGGAAGATCGTTCTCACCGAAATATTTAGCAAAGCTGATATGACGACATCTAAAACACGAGCAAGTATATGAGTGGAAAATAGTTTTTCTATTTTGCACGACCTAATGTCACATATGTTGCACGGTATCCAGCATTTCCAGGATCCTTTTCGACTTCTCCTATCCATACTTCACCAGCCTCCGAATTTTTAAGCGTGAGTTTTGCTGCCACTAGAGAGTGTTTCATCTTGCTTATGAGTGTCGTTGTGCGGTGGTTCTCTCCGGTAGGTTGGGATAGTCATATTATCGCATCCCATAACATCATTACGTCAGCTTTAGTGGATTGGAGGGATCGAAATGATGCCGTACAAGTTTGCCAAGAATTTTCGGAAGTAGGAGGGAAGAACGACTTGGCTGCTCTAAGGAGGGGTAGAACCAGATCCTATGCGTATTGAAAAGCACCAAGGATGCCCTCACCCTACGTATAAAATAACAAAACAATACCAACGAACTGCGCTTTTTCTGCATAGTCGACCATCTTCTCCAATCCAAACTGCATCGCTGCTGCTTGTTGCTTCCGCGCAGTTTCGCTTATCTTCTTAGCCTACAAAAGTAAATACAGGTTTCAGAGTATCCGAATGAAATCAGCCGAATTAAACAATAAATATCAGAAACCTTCAATAGAGATAGCTCTCTTCTGACCAGAAAATGAAGAAATTCTTTATCTGGCTGACTATAATAAATTCTACAATAACTACGTTGACCGTCTCGCCCAGCTCTTCCGGATTCTTGATAATAAGCAGCTAGATTTGGAGGACATGTCCAGTGCACAACAAATCTGAATACATTACTTTAAAAAAGAAAAGTAAGTTCCCAGTGTATCAGGTTTTTTTTTAGTTTTCATCTCTGCAAGAACTTAAGCATACAAATAAGGTCGTCGGTTTCTTTGTTCGGAAGTGAATATCGAAAGTGTTTTAAAGCAGTATTGGTTCATGGAATCGGCTAGTTACAATGTTCTAGCCCAGTCAACCTTCCATTTCCAAGAAATTAACGCTTTGTTCTTGTGAAGACGGTTGTTAATACCAGCCGAACTTTTGTTTCCATATTTCCGTATTCATATTCATCCTAACACAGAGTTTGTACCAACTGATAGGATGAGCAATCAAAGGAATCGATACTCATTTTCTATCCGACCTACAATGGTTAGGCAGTGAAGTTCTGAATATGCAAGGCTACGTCGCGACTATAGGAAAGCACAAACTGCCCTAGACCAGTTTCAGTACCGTTCCGAGAACGGTCTTACCAGATATCAAGGGTAAGACACCGGATGAGAGCCTACTAACTCTCGGATTCAACGGGATAATTAAAACGAACAAGCCACCCAGAATATTTCTTCCTGTGAAGTTCAAACGTATATGAGAAGCCAGGCTACGCGTTTAAGTCCTTCGACGATGATCTCGAGATCCTTGCGATTATACATCGAAAGGGAAACAAATTAACCGCCTGCGAGGTTGATAGCAAGGACCCCAAAAAGATATGTGACCTTTACGACGATCGCTTGCAAAAACGGTGGACATCAAAACATAGCTAATTTCAACAAAGCGCATTCGCAGCTGGAAACGACTTATAGCACTGCAGAAAAATAAGCTGTCAGTTGTCAAGCCCTATGTTCGAAGAAAAACTAGAACAATGAACGAAAGAAAAACGTACTACGGCTCGTACGATTCGTGATGACTGGTGGCACAAGTATAGAAGCATACCTATACATATACACATACATGTATATACATATATATATATATATATATATATATGTACATACATAAGATGGTGACTGCCTCTGATGAGGACAAAGGGAAGGCCTTAATACGGGTATTCTGAAATGTCATAGAGATTCGACTCGACCACACTTCAAGAGCATTCGTGAAGAAAACTAAAATCCTTAAGCAGCAGCAGAAGTTACACGTAAGTCTGAAGACCTTCATGGATTACAGACGCAAGGAAACGAACTGAATGTATGTGCTGGGATCGGCCCAGGAGATGTGAAGATGTGCCGGGCAAAATAAGTAGAATATATATATATATATATAGATATACATGTATACGTAGGTTAAAATGCCTGGTACAATACCTTGATTTGTTAGCAGCCGAAAATTAGGAGAATATTATACAGTAACAAAGCAATGAAGCCAGGAAGAAGAGATCACCAACCTAACATCCGGCTTGTCAATACCCATACCAAATGCTATAGTGGCTGCAATAACAGGAACCTCATTTTTCATCCACTTATTCTGGACGTCGTCACGCATCTAATAAAGCCTTGATACACCAGAAAAACATAGATGGACGGTTTTCATAAGTACAGTGAAAACTAAAACATCAAGAACTTGCCTTATTTGATAAGCCAGCGTGATACGAGAGGCAGCGAATATTTGCGAACGTTAACATCTGTGCTAACTGGTCGCATTCGTCGCGAGTTCGACAGTAGATTATCCCACTTCCATTACACACCCAGAAATAGAACAACGTAATGAACAAAAAATTGTCTCACACAACGACATTTTAGAGCAGCCCTCAACATAAGTTCACAATACTGCTAAAATTACAGAAAAAAAAATGGAACTTTGGCTCCAGAATATTCTCATAAAAGGGAACAAATACCTCGTAAATAAAGGTGAGTTCCCAATTAATGAAAAACTCACTTTTCGCGCAAAGTATTTTTCGGATTATCTGAGAGTTTTTCTTTTTGGACTTTCAAACAACGAAAAATGAATTCAGCCAAATGTTGCTAAAAGATGCTAAATTAGATGAACAACGGGCCAAAAAACGAAGTGAATCATGCAAAAGTGATGGACAAAACACACCTCAGGCGTCATGTTGAGATTATCTTTCATGTGCACGTCATAGTAGAGATTTCCACGAAACGTGGATGCTTTGAATATTTCCACCTAAATGTCAACCAACACATACGTCCAGTTTGTCACACTTAGTAGATGCCCTTTCTTGTATCTCACTATCACTGAAGACGACCCATCCAAGCATCCACGTAAATAATAGATGCCCTTCATATATTGTCGTAAACTGTCACTTAAATTTAAATAAACCATAATACCCGCTGAAATTTTAAGCGGATAAAAACATTATCACAGAACCAACACGTTTCAGCCGTAACTGTGTAACGATATCTTCTTGAGCTTTCGCATTGGCGGTAGCAGTTAGTGCAACCCATGGGACCTGTAGAATGAGTGTCTAGGATAACTGTTTACGAAATAGTACGACATACAAATTGACCAAGGACAAGAATTTTCTACGAGAACTGATGAGGCTGTTTCATTCACGATTAAACAACAAAATGTTATTGAAAACTTGACTTACATCCGGACAAATTTCCCTTAAAGCACTCAATTTCAGATAGTCAGGGCGGAAGTCGTGACCCCAGTAAGTAACACAATGGGCTTCGTCAACAACAATGTAGCTTAATAGATTTCGTTTGTGTAGAGAAGTCAGAATTCTAAAATAGGAAGTTAACTTTGATAGAAAACCTCTGGAATCTAAGGAAAGTACGTAGAAAAAACATGATACAACACAATATTCGCCAAGGACTTGTCACTGAGGAAAAATCGAGAAATAGACACCTCAAATAAACTTCATATCCTAAAAATTGCACGAAACTTAATGCATTACCTCGGAAGGACGGAAATATAATTCCTCTAACCTTGCTGAAAAGTAACAAACTTGAATAACTAGCACACCTTTTCATGTTATCCGTAGCAGCTGCTTCAGGAGTGATATAAAGCAATTTCACAATCGGAATCTTTTTACGAAGGTCCTTCAAGAATATGACAAAAATCACACTAAAAGGAACAAATAAAGCGAAAAAAGGAGCACAATGAACCTCTATGATCCGCGATCGTTCTTCAGAAGATAGTTTGGAATTCAATGATTCGCTCGGAACACCTTTTGCCTAGGAATGCCACAAATACATGCATAAATATATTTGCTATGGAGATATATTTGCCTAAAAGTCCAACGTCTTTAAAACTAACCCTCAAAGCAGTAATTTGGTCAGTGATCAACGCTATCAAAGGAGAAATGACAACGGCAATTCCATTGTGAACAACGGTTGGAAGCTTAAATGAGTACTCAAAAAGTAAAATTTTAAAATATAGAAAGAATATAAGCTGACCTGGTAACACAGAGACTTTCCTGCTCCCGTTGGTAAGGAAACATACACATCAGACTTTCCTAGACATGTCCTAATTTGCGCACAAGTACACCTTAAATTCTGACTAACTAAAACCTTACGCAGTAAAATGCAGTTGACAGCTTTCTTTTGAAGTGAACTTTTAAATTTGATGTGTCCAAACACTTCCTTCAAAACCTTGTCACGATCGCATTGCAACTCCGACATCTTCTTATGTTTCACACCCGAATTGAGAGCAACTGTGAACACGTATGAAGAGAAAATAAAAAGCAAAGAGTGAAAACTGCAATCCAAGAAAGCATCAACAGACCAAAACCCTGTTTTTCATTTTGACATTTGTTTCCTCTGCTCGATTCGATTCCAAAATCATCTGAAGAAAGCCTTGCTGAGCACGGAACACTGAAGTCTTTGTGATTAGCCCTTCGAGACATGCACGACGACGGTTTCTAAAAGAAAATTAAAAAAACGAGAAATATAACCAAAACTGTTCCTAGGAAAGATAAAAACGTGGTACTACGATTGTCCATCAATTGAGAAGATCATGCTTGGTGGTGATGGTAAGTGGAACAAAATACCGGAAAATCATGCTCTACTTCGTTATCATGGAATCATAGTAGGAAGGGTGAGGAGGCTACCACTTCTTTTCACGTTTCTTTTTAAGTGTAATAATAAAGCAAAACGAAGACTGGAGCTACACAACTCTCTTGGTATTCCTAAAAAGAAAAAAAAAACATCTACGCTTACAAAAAATATGGTATGGCTACAAAGGCTCATATTAGCGCCAAAGGAGTCACCCTGAATTTCTACGGCGCTGACCGATCGCACAGAAACACCTAGGCATATCAGAATTTTTCTTATATGTTAGATAAGGCACGGCGTAGCCACTTCAGCTCTATGAAATGGCGGAGACAACAAACCACTGGAATTTCTCTTCCATAAAAGTACGTAAGATTTTAAAGAGTTCAACATTTCTTGGGAATCTATCGAAACACTAGACATAAGCCTCTAGGATGCCTCATGATTTACATACTGCTCAATCGCAATATGCTATTTCCAAATCCATTAGAGGCTGCAACTTCCGTTTGTGGTCACCCAATAGTGCCTTTCCACAAAATCCAAAGGAAAACTTGCGTGAAGGATAAAGATTATTCATGTCCACTTCGCGCAGTGAGCCTTGCCACCTCTGATTTTAGGCAGTACATCAACTACTGATAAGCTACCAATGATTGTGCTGTACGATAAATGATTTGTTTTGGAGGAACGACTATATAACCATCGACTAATTTTCCTCTCGCACATCTAACATAATGACCTTCACCACGAACGACTACTTCCTCCATCTTCATGCGTCAGCTCACGTAATATTCTGTGTGACTTCTAGAATAATCAAAAAAATAAGAAAAAGAATCTCTAAGTCTCTCTAATAAGAAAAAGAATCTCTAATAAGAAGAATAAGAAAAACTCTCGAGGCACTCTGGATTAATTCCAGAAATCCGAAAATGAACCGCAGGGAAGAATGCCTCATTATCACGCGTGATATAGGGCAGTATATAAAACTGCTTTTCTGATGTGAGGGGCACATTATACTTCCACGTGATTTCTGTGCGGTTGGTCTCTACGTGACATACTTAGTGGAAACCTCATAGAAAGCGGTGAGTGTGCAAAGCTGTGTTCAAAGTGATTGAAATCTTGGTTTGGAGTTTCTTTGTTTGGTTATGGAGGCGTCTGGCCGAGTGAGTTGCTATCAACTTGACCTTTCCAGGCTCTGAAGAAGGCGAAATCCGCCGAAACGTCAGCTTAATCGTGAACAAAGAATAGTAACACCTCGCGTTTACTCAACAAAAATACGAAGAAAAAGAATCTATGAGGAACGATGGGACCCCGCTCTTTCGTTGAGAGGTCAGATCATATAATTGCTGTCTCGACACTGTCGCCAACTCACTTGTCGAAGAAGTCCAGCTCATACGAGTTCCTGATTCACCTAGATATTCTACAATCTACAGATGTGAAAAAGGTTAATCCTATTCCTACTATGCAATGTCTCAGACTGATGAAAGCGCTCTCCAAACAAGTTGAGAATCACGAAGAAACTCGTACTTGACGATATGCTCCCAGCAGAAAAGAAATCGCTGTTTCACACAGGAGTTAAACAACAACACGGATCAGAAGGAATTTGACAACATATGTCCTAATAAAAGATGGAATCTAATGGTAGGTGGCCTTAGTAATGTTAAAACCTTACCAATTGAAACAGATGAGCACATGCGAATTCCCTTCCAAGTGAAAGAGCCAAGAACCAACCCGTAACAAGCAGGGAAAAATATTCAACGAAGCTTTTCAATTAAGTCAGATAAAAACTTCCGGATAAGCTTGTTGCATCCACAATCAACATAAACATCCATTGATTCTAGTGGGCACCTGTAAACTCAACTCACCTTTATTCCTTATTTATTAACTCCCTATTTGCTGCCTATTATTTGTTATGGAAAGGTACTATGTGAATACAATAACGATGGTGAAATATTTACAAAACTCAGACCTCTAGCGAGATTTCAACAGTTGACTACCCTTTCCAGCGGCTCAGTTGTTACCCAGTGGACCATTGAGGCCCGTGCTTTGGCTCGCTCTCAGAAATCGTTTTTATCCTAACGGTGCCATCAGCAATAACCCGTCAACAGAAATGAGAAAAAGCTGATGCTGTTGTTAAAATCACAATGTATAAGGTTTATTCATCGCCTATTATTTTTCGAAAACGTCACATCATTATTATATAAGCATGGTCTAAACTCCAGAAAATACAGTAAATGGCAAAGAAGTGCTAGCGCAATGTCACAATACTGCTGAAGTCCCTAAAAGGAAAAGTCCCAATTGAAAACGTGATGGTAAAACTAAAATAACAACGAATGATAAAGTAAGCCAATTCCTCTCTTTACACGGTGCTAAGTCAAACAAATAGAAAGAACCAGAAAATAGACTGACCTCTACACCTGGACGCAACAGTTTACGCAAGAAATCCGTTTAAAAACCACTTTCATTCCGACCGAAAGAAAAAACAATCCGTTTTGACTACGATCGTCACTTCGGCCAATGTCACTTAAAGCTTGACCGAAGATACAAGGCACAGGATTATTCGCATCAAACGAATATAGAAAGTGCAAAGCTTTGACCTTCACGGGCAATGCTGTGTACAGCATCAAGGAGCATTGAGATAAGAGCAAAACTCGGACCAACATGTGAGCTTCGAACGCGCCATTACCCTTACCAGGGTGCACCAAGCGAGGCCTTTGTCTTGTTTTCCCTTTCTCTCAACCAGGTTTTTTTTTACCATAACAGTGCTATCAAGAATCACCCATCAAAGGAAATGATCTGTGGAGCACAATCGCTAGTGAATCCAGTTGCTGATAGCATCGCTAGGTCAAAAAATTCGCTGAGAAGGACAAAGCAAGAGTCTCCGTTGGTGCATTGGATAACAGGTGAGTCCCCGAGAAGGGTAATGATGGGTTCGAAGCTTACATGGGGTTCCGAATTTTGCTCATATCTCAGGATTCTTGTGGTTGTGGTTCACAGAGTATCCTGTCATGAAAAAAGAATAGACAGTAAATAAAATTTAAAACAGTATATCCCGCACTTTCAACATATGGTAGAAACTACTAGACTTTGTATTGACTCACCATTAAGAAATCCCATTTCTTTGTTGGTAATCCTTCTTCGTTTTGAGTTTCACCGCTTGATTTAACTTCACCTTTCAGATTATTAGTTTGTCCAACAGAAGTCGCTTTCTCAGAGTACCACTGGTTTGTAGAATCCTCATCAGAGTCAATTACAATTTCGTCACCAGACATCCTAAACATAGAGTATCTTATTGAACATAAGACAGAATGCCTAAGAAATATGTCAAAGCAGAAGTGATTTTGAACGCGGTGGAAGCAAAATGATCTAGAAGGGAGGTGTACTTATAGTATAAAACCAAACAGAAAACAGAAATCTATGCCCAGCAGAATAGGAACCTTAGGGCGATTCCACAAATAGGGTCAAATTCCCTACGAAACAAGCAAACACGGGTAGTACACCCGGTTAAGAAGTAATCTCACTTAGCGCTTTAGCGCTACACCGTGGGCAACGGCATTCTTGAATGCTATACCGTGACGTACAGCGAGTAGTTCATCTTTAATGTGAAAACGAACATGGCATTTATATCAAAAAGCCCGCCGAAGAACAGACATGTTAGAAATCGTCACCATTCTAGAAAAACGTAGTCGCTAGACTACCATCCTATTTAGAACAGCTGTAATCTGGTCGGCTGTGATTGGAAAGGCCATTCTGACATCAAAGCGAAAAAAATTGTTCTCGCATTGTGTTAAGGCAGGACACCCATATAAGCACTAATCCATGTCATATAAAAAATACAAAATAAGGATAAAAAGGATAAAGCCCTCGGCGTCGATCGATTCCTCAGAGATGTACCATATATTCGACTTCATTGAGCATCGTTTGGAGGTGACTGAATGCATATCTGGCCTTTACAGCGTCGCGTGGCCTACCGAGCCAGTGCTGCTATCTTCTCAGACAAGTCTGGTAGCAATTTGCCGAGCGCGGAGCGATAGAGGGCTTGGCGGGCCATGGGGGCGGCAATAGCTTCCACGTATTTGTTGCAGGAGGCCTCCGACCACTGCGCCACACTCGCACAAAATAAGAATACAAGTAAAATAAAAAATAAGTAATAGTCCATGACATATAAACCAAACAGGAGCAGTAATTTCGCGCCCTAGTATTGTAAATGGCGCCCCAGTGAGGAGTTCATGATTTTTGGCGCGAATTCCACCCGTAATGCTTGTACTTATCTGATTAACTTTTTCCTATCTTTCCTTTTACTTCTCTTTACTTTTTTTTTGCCGTGTACTTTTGTGCAGAATCTAGGGGTAAGGTCGCTTCTTTCTAAAAGTTCCTTATGCATATCATTGAAGCTTATCGTTACTTTATCACTGTCCTGTTTCAGACCAGACCTGTTTTTGGACGTAAAATCACGTCAAGACTCATTCGTCAGTTATTGACTAAGTACAAAACACTAGTTCATTATAGAATAATCATTATTTTCAGTATATGAAATATCGTGAATTACAGCCATAACGTTTCTGAGATATTTGCAAAACTCTGGACCGCAGGTGTCTATGGTGGGGAGCGAACGCGCTGTTGTCCTTTCCGGCGAGTAACGCGTTCACCACCACACCATGCGGGTCCTTCGTTTCGCCTGTCTCTCAGCTAGTCCTATCGATCACTTGCCATCAGCAATCACCTGTCAACGGGATTGATCTGGAAGCCCAAATCGACAACGAACCCAGTAAAGCTGAGGCTGCAGTTATAATCACAAAAATCAGAGCTTTATCTTTATTTTTCCTTCTATTGGTTCTTGGTTTGAGTGAAAACTACCTAG